TGATTTCCAACTCTACTTTCTTTCCTCGGGGCTAATCAAGAAATTAATAAAATTTACGCTTTTAATGACTCGCTTATAACTGCACTTTTCGAAATTAGAATGAAGAACAAAACACTAAAGTAGATTACACAGATTAATGTCAAAAACAACACTCTCCTGACTGCTTTTCTTTAAAATAATCCGCTTATATTCTCGTTTGCTTTGCTTATCCGCACGATAACGTAATTTATAGTGTAATCGTAATAATTAATGAAATGCATAAACAATGAAAAACCGACTCGTTTTTCGAATAAATAGCGACTTGTACGTAAAAGCATCGTACTTTGTATATTTCAAAGCGGCCATCTTTTTCATCATTGAATGTACACGAATCTGTTACATTTGCTTTTAAGTTTTACAAAATGATTTCGCAAATACTACAGATTATCTCTCGCCTCGTTTTTTCAGAGAAGAAGGAATATTCTTCACGATTGGCTAGAAGAGGAAGCGGAAAAGGAAGAAGGGCAGTGATGCAAGCATTTTAAAAGAAGATAGTACATATTTTCAAGGACCTCTGTGTATACTCCACCGTAAAAATACAATTTCATCCAGTTCAACGCGAAGAGAACCGAGTTATTTAAGAAAAAGAAATATATATATTTTTTTACATATATATATATTTTTTTTTCTTTTTTGGCATATGAAACACGTATATGCCGAAATAATCTTCTTGCCATCGGGTGTTGTAAATAAGTGTACTTACAGTGTTTAGCGTCCGCAAATAGTGCGTGTACATAAATATTTAGAGCTTATTACCGGAAATGCGGTTAGAACAACATCATAATTTCACCGACAATTTGTTTATAATGTAAACGTAAACATCAGTAATTTATCATAAATTTATAAATTACTTTATTTCTAAAGAGAATAAAATTGATGACCGAATTATCCAGATATCGTTTGCACAACGTAATATAGCGATAGCAAAGTTCTAAAACAATAAACAACAATTTTATTGATCTATTAACATGACTGTCAACGTGTTTCCCTTTTTAAAATACGTTGCATTCTGCGAGGAAAAATGATCCTTCTCTATTTATTATGTGGAAATATGTCTCATGAAAGCACAAAATGTAAAAAGTCTAAAACGTTAATCGTTTTATTCTACCTTCTTTAGCTGAAAATGATTTCACGTTAATTTTAGTCAGTGTTATTTTTCTGTTTATTTATTTGTTTGCTAAAATGCAACCAAATGCATTTAAGCATGATCATAATAATGTGTATTTATATAGCTTCTGCTAATTATTACTTCTATTATGCGTTATTATGTTTCTAAGATTTTTTTAATTTAATTTGTATCATTTTTGGGAGACCTAGTTTTTCGCTTGATTAATATTTGTATAACAATTAAGAAATTTTTAATTTTATTCTCATTATAAAAAATTATATAATTGTTCTAACGAGGAACAGTTGAAATTTTTTTCTACAGCGTATGTCATTTAAGTGCACAATACATATATGCGTACCTATGCCATTTTATCGCCTTTGGTACGTCTAATAAAAAAAAAAGTGCACGATTGCAAGAAAAAATTTTTATACAAATATCAGTTAACAATGCATATCTCGACATAATTTTCATCTAGATTAGAATAATATCAACTGTAAAGCAAAGGAGTAACGTGTACACATTGTCAATACTGTCAAGTATTATTAAATAAAGAATAAGTATATATCTATCGTTTTCATATTGGCGTATAGCAATCCCAAGTTGGAATTCATTCCTATTTATATATATAAAAAAAATTAAGAAAAAGATGTATAAGATTTTTCAAGGTTTTTCTTGATATATCCTAAGCTGAGTTCGACTCTTTTTTGTACCATTGCAAATAATAATTTTTCAGGTACTAAAACTTGATATTGATTATTCTTTAAAATATATAATACTATATATAATACTACTTTATTTTATGCTACTATTTAGTTTTGTTAGAATTAATGTACAGTATAAAAGGAAATTATGTAATAATGAAAATTGTATCTCTTTACAGTTTAAGTAACTTATATTTCTTGAAATATGATTGTACTTTATCCTTCGGGTAGGGTTTTGTTGCCAAACACGTTGGAATATTTTCAGGCTGTTCGATCCAGAGCTTGTGATCAATGTTCTCATTTGTCAACGTTACACGTAAATTATTTAAACTGGTCTCATCTGGAATCTAATATTTATATACATATAAATATATCCATGTATGAATATACTATAAATGTCACCATACTCCTTCGCTGTTTTAAAAACTGTATACACAAGAGTTATGCACAATAATACATTCAAATTGACGTTTAATACCTATGATATATATAGTTCCTGGATATACTTACTTCCAAGATAACTTTGTGCATAACGTCTAAATTGGCAAGGTAGGCTTGTGTGTAATTGTCATTATAAAAAAGATGAGTAACAGCAGTACACGCATGGCATGCTTGAGCTATAATTGCGCCAATGGACCACTCCATTGTCTTCAGAAGATCTCCTCGTACCACCACATACTGAACTAGCACACTCATCCTAATAACACAAAAGATATTTAATTTTATTAGAACATCATGAAATTATAGAACATGTAAAAGCTATTGTAAGGCTGATCTTGATGATTATTTTGAACATTAAATTTTGAACATTCATTTGAATGAAATACTTCTAATTTTCTATTAAATTTAATATTAAATTTAATGCAATTCTTACATAGTAAGTGCCAAAAATATACATACATATTATAAATAAGAAAACAATAGGAAATACTTTCAAAGTATTTATCTATTGAAATTGTCTGTTTAGTATTATGATATCTAAAACTAAGATAAATATCATTGTAATATTCTTTTGGCATTGTAGTTTAAATCAGATGTATTATTTATATAAATTGTTGTTATTAAAGACAAATTACTCATACATAAATACTGTGTATAATATGTTATAACATTCAAAATATAATAATTTATGTAGAATATAACTTTCTATATTTAACTAATTTGCAATCTATTTGTGAATAAAATTTTAAAAAAATTCTATTGCCTTCACGTTTTAAGTATTTTTGTAGTTTTAAATAAATAAACATTTAATTTTATCATAGTCACGTTAATTATACATTAAATATTCTTATTAATTTGATATTAATTATTCTTATATATATATATATATATATATATATATATATATATATA